AACGCCTCATCTTTCTCCCGTGGAGCGGCTGGTAGTTTCGAACTGTTGGCCTTAAGGTTCGCAGCCCGATTCGTAACCACTACGCTACCAGAGCTTCATAGTATTCTCTTATTACCCTTTTTATTTGGATTGGTTCTGTTGTGATGTTTCTTATGCGTGTTATTTGAATCTTTTCCTTTTGTTTTGTTAGATTTGCCAACGGTTTGTTCATTTTATTAATACTTTGAAAGAACCAACTTCTTAGCTCATTGATTCTTCTATTATTTTTCTGTTTTCTCATTTATTTATTCCTGCACCAATCTTTATTGTTTCTTTTCTACTGGTGACTGTGGACTTACTTTACTGGTCTTTTTCTAATTGTTGGAGATACTGTGTTAATGTGTTGAGTTGGTTATTTCTTCTAACTAATGAGTATGTATATTTATTGCTATACATTGCCCTCTAATCACTGCTTTTGCTGTATCCCAAAGGTTTTGGTATGTTGTGTTTTTGTTCTCATTTGTTCTTTTACCCAGTACCTTTAAAATAGGATGTTATTCAGTTTCCATGTATTGATTTTGTTTCCTTGATCTTCCTATTGTTGATTTCTAATTGATAGCACAAGATGGTTTGTGCATTTTGATATGTTAAAATTTGTTGAGAGTTGCTTTGTGGCCTAACATGTGGCCTATTCTGGAGAATGTTCCTTGTACCAGGACTCCTTTTTAATGTTACCAGTAACTGCTGGGTAATGGTTATATAGGGGAGGAGGAGTTGTGATGATATTCTTTCTCTGAAGAAGAAAGTACCCTTTTAAGACTTTCAAAGATTGAGGAACTAAAGAAATATATTTTAAAAGACATTTTGGAATGGAAAATGTGAATGTTCACCATCCCATGACTATTCCTGGACTCCCTAGAGGATAGTCCGTGTCTAGTGGATGTCTTTTTTATGTGTTAACAACAGAAAGATGGGGAACAAGGCGGCTCTGTAGGATAAGCACTGAACTGGAAATCAGAAGGTGGCACTTAGAGTCCACCAGCGGCTTCAGTGCAGAAAGATGAGGCTGTCTGCTCCCACATACATTTACAGCCTCAGAAACCCTGTCCAGAGTCCCTCTGAGTCGGAACCAACGCAATGATGCTTAATAACAAGAAGAGAGGACAGCAATCTAGTTGACACCGACTCACAATGACCCTCTGTACAAAAGACGTTGTCTGGTTTTGTGTCCCGCTTCGGATTACCCATCGTTGAGGCTATTGGCCAAACTATCTCACTGAGAGTCTCCCTTCTGAACCCTCCTGATGATATGGCCACAGCCTGAGAGGGGCACAGTGTTCTGTTGTGATCCGTAGGTTTTCAGTTGGCTGATTTTTGGAAGTAAGCTGCCAGGCCTTCCTAGTCTGCGTTTGGAAGCTCCACTGACATCTGTCCACTGAGGTCTGTTCATGGAAACGTTGGCAGTTCAAACTCGCTAGTCACTTTGAGGACTAAAGATGTGGCGGTCTGCTTCTGTAAAGATCACAACCTTGGAAACCCGATGGGGCAGTGCCACTCTGTCCTATGGGGTTGCTGGCTGAGTCAGAACTCACCTGGGGGTGGGGGAGGGACACAATCAAGTCCACCTTCCAGACACAGAGTTTAAGAGAGCTTCTAGTTTAAAAAGTATATAAGCAAGTCATGATCGTATACATGTAATAAAATAGTATAGAAATAACTCAGAATAATAGATGAGCTTCAAAAGGTTTGTGGAAAAATGGAATTCAAAGATAATGGCATTTTCCATGAACTTTGTGTAGCCCCCTCATATATCCCTCTTAACCCAAACCCAGTCCACCCCCTTCCAATACCCTCCTTCAGAGTGAAAGCCACATTAACACTCATGTATACCCAGACTGCTAACTTTACAATGACAAACTATACATTAATAGACTTTCTATTTTAAGCCAGTGGGCTTCTGTGACCTGGTTTTTTGTTTGGTTTTCCATTTAAAAGATCTTAGAGATCTGTTCGTATTAGTACACATCAATCCAACCCAGTTTGTTAACAGCCGCTGTAACATGGAGGCAAGGATAATTTGTACTTTTTCAGCATTACAAATGGTCCTGCAATAGACGTCTTTGTAATTAGATGTAGGCTGAGTCCCTGGATGTGCAATTGCAGGTGAAGGAGTTACTAAGATTGCCTTCATCCTAGAAAGAAAAGGGCTGGGCTCCCAGCCCCTGGTCCGGTACTCTGAGTACAAAGGTTCATTGAGCAAGTGAGTGTGGGAAACAAGCTAAATAAATGCCCCTCTTGGCCATTCCTAGTTGAGTAGCATATTAAAAGTTCTAAAAATTCCTCAGGAACGATTTGCCAAGGGAATGACTTTTATTCTTTGTACACACTTTCTAAAAGTCTCCCCGAAAGGTTTGGTAAGTGCCACCCAGTGTTTTTTAATCTCTCAAAAGACAGGGTAGCTTTTAGGTAGGAATTTAGCCACATGCTGTTCCACCCAGAGAGGCGGAAGGGGTGGAGTCAACTTTGGCTGGGGCCCAGGAACCAGCTTGAGCCTTTCAGCCCTGCCCAGGCTCCTCATACCAGGTGAGAGGGACCTAGGCTGACCACAGTGGGAGGAGGGGCGCTTCACTCTGGCCTAGGGGCCTGTTTTGCCTGGGTCTCAGGCTCCACCATAAAGGAAGAGGTTTGGAATCCTTAGAGAAGGAGCAGGCCCATGTGGGTGTAAAAGAGCAGCCTTTCCCCCCACCCAACTCCTCATTGGTGACATCATGATTAACCTCTAAGATGCCACTTCTGTAAGGCCTCTCCCTGACCCCTAAGCCCTCGGTGGAGAAATAACTAATGTGAGGAGGCCTGGTGCGCAGTGGTTAAGTGCTCAGCAGCCAACCAAAAGTGTAGTGACTTGAACCCACCAGCCATTCACAGACAGTCTGTTTCTGTAAAGATTGTTGTTATGTGCAGTACAGGGTTTCCGAGGCTGGTCTTTATGGGAGCAGAAAGCCTCATCTTTCTCGTGCGGAACAGCTGGTAGTATTGAACTGCTGACCCTGAGGATAGCAGCCTGAGTCGTAACCACTACGTACCAGAGCTCCTTGTTTTCAGAAACTGTGGGGTGGTTCTTACTCTGCCTAAGTCTGAATTGATTTGATGGCAGTGGGTTTGGTTTTGGTATTTACCACTTGTCAAGTACTAGCTACAGTGGTGAATAAAACAACCAATCCCCGTCTTCATATTCATATACTCCCTATTTGTTGTTGGTGTTAGGTGCCTTCGAAACTCACAGCAACCCTATGCACAACAGAAGGAATCACTGCCCAGTCCTGGGCCAACCCTCACAATTGTTGCCACACTTGAGCCCATTGACGCCCCCTATAGCCCAGCTCAATGTCCAGCACAAGGCCTGGCTTTATTGTTAAAGGTGTCCAGTCCGTTTCGATTCATAGTGCCCCTACATAGGGTTTCCGAGTAGCTGCTGGTGAGTTTGAACTACCGATCTTGTAATTAGCAGTTCAGTACTTATCCTACAGCGCCACACCTGGATTCCAGTATGCTTAGGGATGGCAATCCAATTGGAGGGTTTATCTAGAAGTAGCCTTTGCGTAGCAAGCACTCTTTTAACTTAAGATTCTATACTAAAATTTAGTAAACGTTTTCTCAAGATGCTTTATCCACACTTTATATGATACAAAGCCAATTGATGGTACAAAATATTTTTAAGCATTTGGGGTGGTTTTAGGGCCTGATGCTAAGGTGGTGGTGGTTATGTGCTGTGGACTGGGTTCCGACTCACAGCAACCCTGTACAGGGTTTCCCGAGGCTGTAAATTTTTACGGGAGCAAAAAGGCAGCCCCGCGGAACAGCAGGTAGTTTCGAACTGGTAACCTTAATTTTCGCAGCCCGATTCGTAGCCACTGCGTGACCAGAGCCCTTTTCGCTATTACCAGGCTCTCAGCGCTTTTCCTGCAGGCCCCGCCTCCTGTTTCGGCCCGCCCCGCCCCAGGTACCACCCCGGGCCCCGCCTCCGCCTCCATAGTTACGGCGCTGTGGAGGCGGCGGCCATCTTGGCGGCGAAGCGATGAACGGGTCGAACCCCAAGGCTGTGACCGCGGGGTCGGCGGCTGGGCCCGGGGGGCTGGTGGCTGGAAAGGAGGAGAAAAAGAAGACGGGCGCCGGCGTCCTGAACCGGCTTAAGGCGCGGCGGCAGGCGCCCCATCACGCAGCCGACGACGGCAGCGGGGCAGCGGTCACCGAGCAGGAGCTGCTGGCGCTGGACACCATCCGGCCCGAGCACGTCCTGCGCTTAAGCCGGGTCACCGAGAGTGAGTGCCGGGCCTGCCGCGCCCTCCCCTCGCGCCGGGCCCCGGGCCCCGGGCCCCTGGTAGCCGGTAGCAGGCTCGGCCGCTCCTCCCTCGGCTGGACCGGGCTCCACCCAGGCTCCTCGCCTGCCGGGCCGCGCGGCACACCGCTCCGCGGGCGGGGTCAGCCCTCTGTAGCCCCCGTCACCCCGACCCAGTGGGGAAGGGGCTTCCCTTGAGCCTAATCACATTTCCTGAGTCTGGCTACACCAGGCAGCCCCCTTGGCAGGCCAGTTCCCCACCCCAGCTGGACCTGGTTGGGGAGGGGCCCTTTCAGCTGCCCGGAGGCCGCGCTCTCCTAATGATGGGCCCTTTACTGCTCAGTCCGGTCAACCATCAGTAGGGTTCCCACTCCGCCTGGTGCCCCTCCGTTGGTCACCTCGGCAGCCTCCATGGCCTTCTGCAGCCCGGAACTCCTCCCCTACCTGCTCGCTCCCCTAGTCAGCTTCCCTCCACTCCGCAGGACTGCCCCGCCTCCTTTCTGCCTCTTGCGATGCCCTTTTGTGTGCAGGTGGGCCTTTCCCCATTCTAACACTTTGCCGTGGCATTTAATGCACATTTAAAGCCACGCCACATTAAAAAACAATAAAGTTTCAGTTCATGTACCAAACCGGAAAATGTGAATCCTGCTTTATAAAACATTTGTTCTAGTGAGTTGAGAATTCATGTCAAGGTTTCAGAATTGACGTTTTTGCATAAGATGCAACTGTCTTGAACCTTTTTGTCCTCTAGTGAAAGGTGGGAAGAGATACATTACCCATCTCCTGTCCTAGGTCTCCCTTCTTTTCTCTTCCCTTCCAAGCCAAGCACTGACTTTGCCCCCTTTCCTTTGCTGCTGTTTTCTCTCCAGCAGTTTGTAGTTACCTCCTTCCGCCTGGCTTGCCCTGCCCATTACTCTCCTAGGTCCTCTAGTAACCCTGCAACATCCTTGGTGATTTCAAGGCTGACTGTCATCTACAGAATTACTTTAAGTGGGCCTTGGCCCTGCATGCTTGGAGGGGCCCATCTCCTAAGTAGGGTTTTAATTTGTTACTGCATATCTTACTGCCCCATTTCCCAGCTCTCTTTGGGTTGAGATTGTCCTTTGCAAGCTGGGAGGTATTTTTTTAGAAGACCTTGCTTTTCAGTTTCATTGAAACTGTATAAAAAGGTCACTTGTGTTCTGACCGACTTTCCACTGGGGGCTCTGAAGATAAAGGCTCAGCGCTTCTTGCTTTTTCCTGATATCAAGGGTGAGTCAAACCATTCTGGGATTTGGTTCTAAAGCAGCATTCTAGATCTGCACTCAGGCCCTGCTTTGGGGGCGTGGGCTTGGTGCTATAGCTGGAACCTGCCTCTGCAGCTTATTGGTGAAAGTACTACACTCTCACTGCCTCAGGTCAGAGTTTCGGACTGTTAAGATTTGTTCCTCTTCAGTACGTTTATTACTGGGGACCCTCCAAGAGCACAGAAACAGTCTCTGCTGTGTTTTTTTGGGGGGGTGGGGTGGGGATTACAGAATTATCAGTAGCTTGTAAAACTTGAAGCAACTAATGTAAGCAGGGACTATGAGAGAGAAGCCAAAAGAGTTTGTGGAGAGAACATGCTGTGTGGAGTCATTGTAGACAAAAAAAAAAAAAAAATCAATGAAGAGAGAAGATTGTCATCTGTAATTTTATGGCGTTTACTAGGGTCGGTACTATTTTGATGAGCTGCTTGTGTGGTTGAAGGCTCTACCTCACTTTGAACCAATGCTTTCATCAGCCAGGTCAGCTGGTGTCACCTCTGTATCTGGCCCACTGCCTGATTTTGTACAGTTCCTAAGCTAAGAATGGTTTTGACATTTTTAATGGTTACCCAAAAAAATCAAATCATTTGTGAGACATGATGGTTATGTAAAATTCAAATAGCAGCATCCATAAAATGAAGTTGAATGGTTCGCAGTCACACTAGTCCGTGGACAATCGCCTTTGTGCTGCCAGGACATAGTGCATAGCTCTGGCAGACCACAGATTGCCTGCAAAGCCAAATACATTTCCGACTTGGTCCTTTCCAGGAGTTTGTAGACTCTGGCTTTGTAGCATTCACAGTTGACAAACAAGCACAGTCGTATCCATTGTTTGATGCCATTGAGTCAGTTTTTGTTGCAGGAACCCCATGTGACAGAGAGAGTTTTCTAAGCTGTAGTGTTTATGAGAGGAGATCACCACCTCTTCCACTTGCAGAGCATCTGGGTGGTTTCCGTGGTCAATCTTTTGATTAACTGATGAGCCACCAAACAAACCAATCCCATGACTCATGGCCACTGAGCCAGTTCAACTCCTAGCAACCCGATAGGACAAGGTTTAACTGCTCCGTAGGGTTTCTAAGGCTGTAAGTCTTTATGGTAGCAGCTCTGGGTTTGAACCACCAACCTTTCAGTTAACAACTGAGTGCTTGACCACTGTACCACCAGAGCTACATTATCCATTGGTTGGCTGTGTGCCATTCAGTTGGTTCTGACTCAGTGACCTCTTATATAAGGTTTTTGAGGCCGTAAATCTTTATGGGAGCAAAAAACTTCATCTTTCTCTTGTGGAGCATCTGGTGGTCTCAAACCGCTGACATTGGCGGTTAGCAGCCCACCTTGTAATGTATTACACTACATTGTTAAGTGCCATCTAGTCAGTTCCAACTCAGCGACCCTGTATAGGGTTTCCGTGGAACAGGTGGTAGATTTGAACTGCTGACCTTATGGTTTGCAGTCCAGTGCTGATTCCACAGTGTAGGAGTCCAACACTACTTTGTTATTGTTATTAAGTGCTGTCAAATTGGTCCTGACCCATAGTGACCCTGTATAGGGTTTCCGAGGAGTGGCTGGTGGGTTTGAACCACTGACCTTACAATTCAAACTGACCTTACGGCCCACCACATATCCAGCAGCACCCTACCAGGATTCCTTAGATCAGTACAAACATTTTAAAAGAGATGTAAAAAAAAATATCTGTTCCAACAGTTTCTGGTAGGTCATGAAAGGTGTATAGGCCACTCTCAGATGTTTCCAAAGAAAATCCCCTTTTCCTGTCATTGTTTCTAAGATGTAAAAATCCACAGTAGGACAATCTGTCTTTCTCACCTCCTCCATGTTCTTTTTTTCTTTCCTTGGCTCCTTCTCTTCACACAACTTTTGCTTGGGACACCTTGTCTTTCAGATGAATTGTAGAAGAACAAACCTGAATTTGAGCATTAAAGTAAAGAAATGAAAAAAGCAAATAATTTGGAGATTTTTTTTTTTTTTAACATTGATCCCTCTCATTTTTTAGGTTACTTATGTAAGCCTGAAGACAACGTCTACAGTATTGACTTCACCCGCTTCAAAATTCGTGATTTGGAGACGGGCACGGTGCTCTTTGAAATCGCCAAACCTTGCGTTTCAGGTAGGCCTTAAAGATGGGAGAAGGGTGTCTTCAAGCTCTGCCTTTTGTGTGCCATTGCATACTGTAAGTCTCAGTGTATTCTGCTTCCGTCGTCTCCTTCCATGTAGATCTCCTTTTCCCACTGGGAAGCCTAGTGGCCGGTCGGGTGTTGTGGTCTGAAGCTGTGTTGGGAGATGGTGTCTGTTGGCTATCTATTTCTCTGCTAGTAACTGTGCTACACATTGTCTGTGCACATCAGCTCACGAAATCCTCCTGTCTCTGTGAGGAATTTTGCAGAAGGGATACCAAGGCTCAGTATTTCCAGGTACCTCTCCTGTGGTCCTATGCTCTTGCATGATTATATTGCCTTCAGTTAGAAAAGGAATCCCTGAAAATAAATGAGCATGAGGAACACTCACCCGAGCCTTAAGTCCCAGGGACAATCTGGAAGGGTGCCCCTGAGATTTCCAAACCCCAAGGCAGGTTCACACCAGGCTTCTTGCTCTGTTTCCTTTAAATAGTTCTACCACCAAAATCTGAGTTGGGATTTGAATGGAGCCCAGATCCATACACATCTACTGAAATGAGCCTTGAATAGAGGCTTCCTGTGCTTGGTGGTTGTTCCAGGGTGATTGGTTTTGCACCCGAAAACCACCAAAGTCTTTGGAGCTCGTCCCTGGAGATGTAGCGCCCCCTGGAGTTAATCAGTTCTTAGAACAGCAGCACAAATGTCTTTCACATTATCAGCTGTGTTCTTTAACATTTTTTTACAAACCTGTTCTCATCTGATTTACTACTCAGAAAGAGTCTGAAAATTTTGGCAAGGCAGGGCTTCCTTCCTGTTCCAGGTAAGTCAAAAGACTGTCTCCAGTCTCAGCGCAGGTTAACAAAAGAACCAAGGCTGGAGCCCAGGCTGCGTGATCTCTGGCTGACCTTGGTGACTAAGGGCTGAAATTTGTGAGTACTTACCTTGTATGGGAAGAGCAGCATCAGCTAGTTTCTTGGGTCTGTGGTGGGTGTTCATACCCCAGAGTCACGTGTCCTAGTACCTAGGATCTAGCAAGGACCCCAGGGCTGCCACAAGTGTGTGCGTTTAGGTTGGAGTGGGATCACAGTTGTCATTTCAGTACAAATCTGAACCATCTCAAAAGGATCAGCTATGGACAGTATAGCGTGTTGTTACCCTGAGGGGTCTTGATTCATTTTGAATAGCCTGACACCGACCCAAAAGCCACTTCTGGCACGTGTTCTGAGGAGTCTGAATCCCTAGCAGGTTGGTCTGACTCAGTATTAACCTCATGGGCAGGTCTGGCCCTGAGGGCCTGGGTGTAAACCGCTACTCTATCTAGTAATCTAGTTGCTCTTGAACTTGTCATAGGGGCAGCCGTGTTTAGATGCTGAAAAGGGTTCACTCTGGTAACACAGTGATTAAGCACTCAGCTACTAACTGAGAGATCGAACCCCCCCAGCCGCTGCACAAGAGAAAAGACCTGGTCTTCTCCTCCCATAAAGATGACAGCCTGGGGAATTCTGTGGGCTATCTACTCAGCCCTCCAGGGTCGCTATGATTCGGAATCAGCTCTAAGATATGTAACAACAACATGTCATCTGAGACCTAGAAAATAGGAGGGACTTCAAAAAAGTCATGGAACAATTCCATTCTCTTTCATCCCATTTTCCCATGAACCTTTTCAAGCCTCTTCATGTGTCCTTGTTGGATACCGATGTTCATTAGTAGGGACTGGCCCCTTGTTCACCTTAGCGTAACTCCTGGCCTCACGTGGGCATTCTCAACTGTGGAGCCTCACACAGGCACCGTCCCCTTCCCCCTGAGCTCGGAGCCTGGTGTGGCCGCGAGTAGCAGGCCAGGACTTTCCACTTCAGTGAGAGAACTGCTTCACTGCGCAGCAGGAGCCTTCACGGGCATGGAAGGAGCTGTTTGACTGTTTCCAACAGGCGTAGTCTGATTTTCTTTAGCTGTTGTTGACCAGGTCAACAGCTGACCGTGTTTGTTTAACACGAGGAGACTTCAAAAAGTTCATGGAAAAAGGGAATCCAAAGAGAATGGAATTGTTCCACAAAGTCTTCGAAGCCCTTTATATATAGGTGAAAGCCAGCTTGTGTACTAGTCTTCACCGTTAAGGACAAGGCCCAAGCCCCCAAACATTGCTTCGCATCTAAGAAAAGGCTTTGATCAGGTGGCCCTCCGTTTACTGGATGACTTCGCGTGTTACTTCGCCTCTGAACTTCACTTTCCCTTGCTGCATAAGGGGAGTAACGTAATGCCTCATGTGATGATTCTGCGAAGCGTGTAACACAGGGTCTCGCCAGTATCAGCCAGCTTACTGTGTGGACTGGTGGTGCTCGGAGGGTGCGGTCAGCGTTCCACATGCTCTTTCAGACCTGGAGGAGGAGGAGGAGAGTGGAGACGTGGACATCAGTGCAGGGCGTTTCGTCCGATATCAGTTCACACCAGCATTTCTCCGCCTCCGCACAGTTGGGGCCACGTGAGTACCTGGGTTTCCTGAGACTGGGGTTTCCTTGTTCAGAGAAGAATGCTCTCAGTTGGCTCTTGGGTTGCTTTACAAGAGGCGGGAGCTCAGGCAGCACAGAGAGCAGCAGTTTGAACCCAGCAGCTGCCCTGCGGCAGAAAGTAGGGTTGTCTGCTCCCCTAAGGATATACAGCCTCTCAGAAGCCCTCAGGGGCAATTCTCCTCTGTCCTGTAGATAGACTGGGCTCGAGGGCATGGAGTGGGGTTGCCTGTAGGGGAGGATGCCCATCTGAGTCGGCTCACAGAGATTTGTTTCGTAGGGTGGAGTTCACAGTGGGAGATAAACCCGTGTCAAACTTCCGGATGATCGAGCGACACTATTTCCGGGAGCGCCTGTTGAAAAACTTTGATTTTGATTTTGGCTTCTGCATCCCCAGCAGTAGGAACACTTGTGAACACATCTATGAGTTTCCCCAGCTTTCTGAGGACGTCAGTACGTATCTCCGGACTTACCCCGCCTCCTAGATTCAGAGGCCTGGAAAGAATGGGCCAGGGTGCTTCCATCGGGCCTGCGTCCTCGCTTTGCAAATGATCCCCTGTCATTGCCTGCTAGGGGAAGGGAGGCGGTAAGAGGAGGCTGTGATACCGCGCTCTCCTCTGCCCTGCGCAGCATGCCTGTGCCTTAAGTTAGTGCCCAGCACTCTTCATTATCCATCACAGTTTCAGAGCTGGATGTGAGGCGGCAGGCAAATTGGAATCAGGGTGAATGGTGACAGTTGTTGGTTGTGGAGTAGGAGTGAGGTGACGGGAGCCGGGTCCTGGGAAGAGTAATTCCGTAGCTGTTTGCAGGGAAGACTGATCACTGGAGAAAGAGCAGGCTTCATTGGCACCGGTTTCTGTGATAAGCCCTCGGATGTCCCTGGTGCTGACTGAGAACCCAGACTGGACAGGGTCAAGGAGGAGTATGCCAGAGAGCGGATTGCATCCTTGCATTGCTGCTGAGGTCTTGAGGTGCCTGAGTGGTGCTGTGGGTTAAATGTCAGGCTGCCAACTTAAAGGTCAGCACTTGTAACCCAGCAGCCATTCTGTGGGAGAAACATGAGGCCATTTGATTCCATCACGATGACAGTCTCTGTCCTGTAGTGTCACTAGGAGTGGAATCGATTTGGTGGCAGTGGGCTTAGTTTTGGGTTTGGTCCCCAGTTCTCCTGGTTATTGTGGGCTGTCTCCCTCTGCGCTGACAGCGAATGCAGCCGTTTTCTCGGAGAGTCAGCCTGTGAGCTGTTAGAGACGACAGCACAGAGGGCGGGCTGACGAACACATAACCTTTTTTGTTTTCCTTTCTCTGACTTGTAGTTCGACTGATGATTGAGCATCCCTATGAGACCCGTTCTGACAGCTTCTACTTTGTCGACAACAAGCTGATCATGCACAACAAGGCCGATTACGCCTATAATGGGGGCCAGTAACTGCCGCAGGAGCGCACAGGGGAGGCGCTTTGCTGCAGCTGCGAGGTCCTGGCACACTGAGATGCTAGAAGCTGCTATTTCCTACACACGTCTGGAACCCGGCCCCAGGAAGTCAAGGGCTCTCCTGTGCCCCCCGGGAGGGGCCAAGCAGTGCTGTGTTTTCTCTCCCAGTATTCCTTCTATCCCCCTCCCCTGCCCCGTAGGTCGCCGCAGAGCGTTCTGTAGCAAAGTAAAAGGTTAGGATGAGGCTTCTGGAATCCAGAGAAGTAGGAAAGTGTACAGCACGCTGGTTGCAGGCTTGCTGAGCTTAGCTGTGCTTGGATGAGATGGCTCTGACCAGGCCGCCTTCAGTCAGCGAGGTTCTAGGTGCCAGGTGCCGTGGGAAGCACTCCGTGGGTACCGCCTTCTTTCGCTTCTGGAGTCTGCCCTCCATCTATGCCTAGTCCTAACCAACTGGAAGAAGCATGAAGAGAGGGACTGGAGCCAGGAGGGCCAGGTTTGATTCCCAGGATGCATTGTGTGGGGAGCCCCACTTACCCATGCGACTCAGGGTCCTTTTCCTGAGTCTACTGCCGCTCTTCCTAGGGAGAGACCCAGGCTCCAGCCTGCCAGTGCCTTCCTGTGCTCCCTCTAGGGGAGGGAACACAGGTTTGCTCTCTGAACTTACTCACCCACGAATCAAATATGTCATCAGTTTTGCTCATGGGATAGTAGTATCTTCCAAGGCCAAAGCAGGCCTTGTATTTTATTTTGTTTTTCATGCCAGCCTTCTCTTTGGAGGTTTCCTACACAGCGGCATTGCCGGCATAGCCAGGTGCGGTTAGACTTCTGAGCGTGTTAATCCAGTTCATGGTGGGCAATGTAGTTAATGAGCTGCAGCTATTTTAAAGGAGGGGCTAGTGGAGGACTGGCCTTTGATGGGGACATGCCTCAAAAACTGCCCGTGTCTTTCTTAGGAGGTCTTTCCTGTCTGGGCTTTGTGCAGAAGCAGGTACTGGGATCATCTGGTAAGGTCCAGCCTGAGCAAAGCCAATTCTGATCCTTCATGCCGGTTGGAATGGTCCAGGGCATTCTGGGATGGGTGACGCAGGCTGGGGCGGCCCCGTGTATCCCATGAGCTCCCGTAGTCCTCAGAAGCTTATGGTTGGCGGCTGTTGGGGTGGCTTTTGGGGCTTAGCCCAAACTCCTGGTTCTCTGATAAGACTTGTTGTGGCCAGGATCTGTTTTGCATTGATAGACGCAAGGGCCTGGCGGTGTGGTTGCCGTGACCATGATAGGGAGAACTGTGTCCCAAGATGCTTGGGAGGAAGGCTGGATGTGGCTTGGGAAAGTAGGGCAACCTGACCTTGAAGCTCCCTGTCGCTTTCACCGACACGTGGTGTTCTCTGTTGGGATTCGAGTAGGGCTGAGTGCTCTTGAACCTGGCAGCCCGGAGTCTGGGCTGTGCTTTTGCATGAAGAAAGCTCTCGGTTACCCTGTGTCCAAGCCTGGACCCAACCACAGAGGGCCAAGACACTGTGCCCTGTAGAGAGGCTGCTGCTCCCTGGGCCGACAAACCTCAGAATGGAGCTCAACTCCGCACCTAGGTGCCTTACGCGCGACTCTGCCCCACGTACTGCTGGGAAAAGTGGCCTTGCCATCTATCCCTCCTCCTCCTCAGTGGACAGACAGCAGCCCTGTCTTTTTACTTTGTGTTTCTCATTGTAAAACCCTCTCCTGGGATGTGTGTGTTCCCAAGGGTCCCTTCTGTCTGGAACAGAAGTCTAATCTGGAGAGGGTCCATTGTTTGGTATTACAGTGCTCACCAGGATGTGCCCCAGGGAAGGCTGCCCCTGGAATCCTAGTGGCTGGTTCTTCTCCACAGTGTTAGCTCTTGTCAGAAGGAGGAAGAGGAGGCTGAAGGGGTAGCACCTGAGTCGACTTGAGAAGCACTAGGGCCTCTTTCTGTCAGCCTTAGTCTCACCAGAGACCAGGACTTGGTCTGTGTCCAGTAGGACGGGATTTGCCGTCCTCTGCTCCCATAGGGCTGATGTCTGTTGTAGGCCTCGGGATCTCCGGGTGTGAGTGCTCAGGAAATGGAGAAGGAAGGAGGACTACCACTGTGGACTGGAGTTGAGATGCTCAGTTGCCTGTGACTCTGAGGAGCATTGGCAGTCATACTTTCTGTGACAGTTACAGAACTATTGTGCAGTAGAATCAGGGCCACGTTACCAGGGCAACAATTGTGGAGGGTAAGTTATGGTGATGTCAGCGGGAAGACTGCCCGCATGGAGCTGGTACTTGAGAGGAACTCCTGGGCGAGCATGACCCAGCATCCTCCCCACTTCTGTCTTGTTGCAACCCCTCACTTCCACATCTTCTGGGACGGAGTTTCTCTTCTTATCGAGCCTTGGGGCTAAGCTGCCCTTGTAGCTTCTCCAAAGACCTTGGCTTGTTTCAATGATCTGTGAAAGGGTGAACAAAGCAAAGAATAACTAGAAGTAATTCTGGACTCAAGGGGAACAGCTCTGCAGATGTGGTAGCTCAGTGCCATCTCCTAGGCGAGAAAGCCGTATTCATGGCCACGTGCCTCCTGAAGACAGCCACCACCTTGGGCCGTCTGATTCCCAAACACCCATCCCCCACTGCCGTCAAGTCTGATTCCCAAACACCCATCCCCCACTGCCGTCAAGTCGAATCCTGCTCATAGTGACCCTGTAGGGCAGACTAGAGCGGCTCCTTCGGGTTTCTAAAACTACATCTTTATGGGAGCAGACAGCTTCATCTTTCCCAAAGAGCACCTGGTGAGTTAGCAGCCGTACACTTAACCATCTGTACTGCCAGGGATCCCTGAGTCCCAGCCATGGGCTGTGATTTGGGAGGGGCAGGGGTTAGGGCTGGCTACAGACTGGTCATCTCATCTGTGGAGGGGATTCCATAGGCTTTGTCTGCAAATTGGAGTACTTCTGCCTTATTGTGTCCTGCTGCCCATGGTGGCCTCTGTGCCATGACATCATGGGGTTTGTGATGGGGACAGTGCTAGAAAACAGCTCAGAGTTGCCGCTGGTATGGAGGGCTCTGGGTACAAGCCTCCTTGCTGTGCCTCACCGGCCCCTTCTCATCACTTGCATTCCGTGTTCCAGAGCGTCTGAGTCACAAGCAGGACCTGGGGAGATGGACTTAGCCCTGGTTTCACAAAGGATCATGTAAAGTCATTGACGTTGTGAAAGTCTATTTTTTTTCCTCATAAATGTATTTTTCACAGAATATAAGACACATCAATGAGCTGATCTGTCCTCCTCTTTCCCACTTCAACCAACATCCTTGTTCTACTTTGTACTATCTGTGTGTCCCAAGTAAACTGGGCGATTTACTTGTATAGAATGTTATTTTGCCATAAGAGACCAGAATAAAAGAATGATTTTCACAGTATATGTTGCCTTGCATCTTCTGAGTTCATGTTGCTGGGGGACTTGGGAGAGGGACAGGCCTGGGGTGAACTAGGCGCCGAGCTTCTCCTCTCTTGGCTATCACGTGGCCTTTCTGTGAGTAGTTGAGTAAACATAGCTGGCTTTCTGGGGGATTGGGAAACTGGGTTTTAGGGTTAGTAATTTTCTTTATATTTTGCTTATAGGACTTTGAGAATTCTAATTGTACACATACAAGGGGGCTTTAGAAAGTTTGTAGGGAAACTGCAGTCTTTTAATTCCGTTTTCCATGAACTTCTTGGATTCCTGGTGTGGCACTGCAGGATAATGCCCTGGACCACAAGGTTGGTTTGAACCACAAGGTCGGCAGTACAGACCCACCAACCGCTCCTCGGAAACCCTAGATAGGCTCGCTGTGAGTCAGAACCCACTCAAAGGCACCTAACAAAGGAGCATGGCGACTCTAGGATAAGCACTGGACTTGTAACAACTGCACGGTTGGTGGTTCCAGCCCACCAGCCGCTCCTCAGAAGAAACATTAGGCTTTCTGCTCCTGCAAATATTTATAGCCTTGGAAACTTGCCTAGACAGGGTCGCTGTGAGTTAGAACCAACTTGATGGCGGTTAACAAAAAGTAAGGCAGACTTTTACACCTCACCTCTTATAGGAGGACCGTCAGATGAGTCCTGGCACACGTCGTCTTATCCCTGTCAAGCCATGATGCGAGTGTTTCCATCTCTGGAAAGACCAGTGTTCTTGGGTTTGCCGACAGACCCTTCCTCAAGGCGCCCTACCCCAGCCATTTACATTCACTATCATATTTTCTGTATGTATTAGAAGACATATACTTTGAATATAAATTTTACTTCCATATTTAAGGTCACAAGCAAAAAACAGTTTTAAAATATGAGTGCCTTAGGGGGTCTGTGGCACCTGAAGCAACCAATTTTGGTTTCTGTGTTCAAACCTGGCCCACTTTTCTTGGTTTTATTTTTCTCCTTTCCCCCAGGGTCCAGGTGGAGTGGTTGACAGATGAGAGGCTGGCGTCTCTGAGAAAGATCAACAGGAAGAAGGCTGCATTCTCTAGGAAGTAGAGCTAGAATTTACAGGAAAACAGGATGGCTGGCACGTGGGTCCACGCTGGCTGAGTAGGGGAGAAAGGCAGCTGGATGTGGGTGTGGAGACTGCGAGGGAGACCCTATGTATGTTGAGGGCCTATCCAGGTTTCTTGGGCTGCCCTGACCAGGTAGCTAGGGACCTGCAGTGCTTCTTACTTCCAACCAGATCCTGCCCCTCAATAAAGAGTGAAACAGGGACACAACAACCCTGCCTTACTGCCATCACAGACTTGTGGAGAAAGAAATTTCCCTTTTGCTTTATGAGAAACAGCAAGACAAAACCCTGTCCTTCTTGGAGCTTACAGTCTATTGGGAGAGCCAAGAAATGGTTTCAGAGGCAATGCTGAGATGAAGAGTGAGTGTGTGTGTGCACAGAAGCACTGACTTAGGTGGTCAGTGAACAGGAAAAGGTAAAAACATTCACTGCCTTCTCCCAGGAGACAAGCTGGAATGTTCATCAGTTTACTGAGTGGGACCAATTCTACCAGCCCAGGAAACAAACTAGAATGCTAATCAGGTTACGGATCAGGACCAATCTTCTGGTTTCCCTCCTGTCCTCAAACAGGTCCACAACCTAGCCTCTCCATGACTCTGATCCCATATAAGCCTGCACTACCCTGCACTCGGTTCAGAACCTGAAGAAGTTAGCTCCTCTGAGCCAGCAGGCTTAATAAAATCTGAAACTGCTTCACCTCTCCGAATGGCCTCGGTTTCTTAAAGCTGCTATAACACTCGGATCTTAAGTTGTAATACATTCGGATAGAAAACTGCTGTAACTCTGTGAGTGCCACCTGAAGAGAAGGGACATTCCAGGTGGAGGGAACAAAGATTGCCAAGGCCCAGGCTCAGGAACAAGCTTGGTGTCAGAGCAAAGGCAGTATGGGAATGAATGGTGGGAAATAGATTCCAGGTTCTGTCTACATGTTTACGTGGGATTTGCTTTTAAGTGATATAGGGCAACCACTGGAGGATTTTAAGCCAAGGGCTGCTGTCCTAATTGTAAAGCGATCTCTGTGGACTTTTTGAAGCACTCTTATGGCTCTGCAGATTAAGCATTGGGCAGTTAACCACAAAGTTAATAGTACAAACCCCCAGTCAAACTCAGTGGGAGCAAGATAAGGCTACCTGCTTCTGTAATGACTAAAAAACCTCAGAAACCTTAAGGAGCAGCTCTACTCTGCTAGTGAGTTGGACTTGATGGCAGTGGGTTAATGGCTAGAGAAAGATTCTATCCTTGGCATTGGCCGATTAACATTCTTGTGTGGATGATAGCCAGTACACCAAGCGCAGGATGCACCTAGTTCAAGAGAAGAGAGGCGGGGCCAGGGCCGGGTCGAGAGCACGTGACACCTCCGCCCCATCCAGATGCCTGGGGGCGGGATCGGCGCGTGCGCCAGCACACGGGAGGTCGCAGAGGAGAACCGTCTCACTGTCCATGTCAACTATGGCCGCTGCCTTGTTAGCCCGGGCCTCTGGTTGTATCCGCCGAGGTGAGTGCCCACGGGCTCCGGGCAGCGGGTCCACGGCCCGGGGCCTGCCGAGTGGGTGGGACTCTCAGAGGCCCTCTCCGACCTACCTCTCGGAGCGCGCTTGGCCTTTACCCTAGTTCCACTGATCCCTGGGCGGCCATGCGCGGCCTGCCCGGCCCTGCAGTGATCCCGGACCATCTCACGGCTGCATCCCCACACTCTCCTCCCAGGGGGGTACGGGTACGCCTCGACCCTCGAGCCAGGCCTGAGATTGATCCCAGGCTGCATCTGTGATCTCCTTCCTGACATTCACCTCCTCTCACCCTCAGTCGGTCCCTGTATGAAATGGCCAGTTACTTAGGTGATTGTAGTATTATTCAACACCACCTTGGATGGGTAAAACGCTAGTGCCAGTGCCTGGGACAGAACAGGTACTCCATCCGTGCTGCTGCTGTTTACAGATTCTTTAATCACATTTCCTTTCCCAGCTTATCAGTTCTCTCCACTTGTGACAACGGTGGCACACCTGGTCGAGACTCACAACCCGGAATACGAATCACAGTATTATTATTGAATGAGATGGATTGACACAGTAGCCTTGACAGTTTCAAATATCCTGAAATTGGCACGGGCTTGGCAGCTTTTGTTCTGCTAAACATGAGGTGGCCATGTTTTAGTGCTGCCTGTGTGACACCTGGGTGCTCACTGAGGCCCTTGTCATCCAGCTGCTGTGCAACCTTCCCACCCCCATGAGCTGAGGATCACTGTCTATCTAAGATTTATGGAAACTGATGTACAGTCAGGTTGAGACCTGTTCTTCAAGTCACAGATTTTGTGCTATTATTGACATTCTGCTAAGTATGTACAGTGTTTAGCATAAAATAAGCATGAGGTCGGTTCAGGATGTCTCAACAGTGAGTTTTTTAGGTACCTGGTGGTGTACAAGTGAATGTCTTTAACAGACAAATTTGTTCTCACAGTTTAGGAGACTAGACGTCCAAATTCAGAGTGCCGACTTTAGGGGATGGCTTTCTCTCTCTGCTGGCTTTGGAGAAGGGTTTTTGACTCCTTTCAGCAACTGTAGACCCACCGTTCTTTGGAGATCTCCATACATCTTGGTGCCAGTTTTCCTCTGGATCTAGAAGCCTGAAAGTGTAGCGAACCCAGCTCCAAAGGACATAGTCCACTCCCAGCTCTTCTTTTTGGGTGGTAGTGGGTCCCTCTGAGCTCTGCTTACTTGTTTGATCTCCTTTGTATTTCAAGAGATTGACTCAAGACACAACCTAATCATATAGATTACATCACGTCTCTTAGAACAAATAGAATAATTGCATCATATCTGATGACCCCATCAGATCCCATCATGGGGGTGGTGGTTACATCATGAGGGATTACTTACTCTTAACTGATAAACCACTGATGATCCAGGTCCAGCAAAGTTAACAAAAAAACAACTGATGCTATTGACATTTTGGGGTGGGGAGCAGAGAAGACTGGTCTGGTGATCTTCTGAAGGTCAGCGCCTCAAAAGTCCCCTGGAGCAGGTATGTTCTACTCAGGCAAGGTCTCTAGGAGGCAGAAGTGATTCGATCACAACTAACAACAGCAGTGTTGGAAACCCTATGGAGCAGTTCCACTCTGTCCTATAGGGTTACTGTTAGGACGGAATGACTGGTAGTGGGTGTTGGGCTTAACCTGGCTAACACCAATATGACTGCTGTTTATCCCAGATGTTACAGCCTGGCCATAGACCTCAGGCTGGGCTAGGGAAACCTCCCAAACTTCCCAGGTCCCAGGACCTGCCTCTGAGCTCCCTCCTGTCTTCTCTGCCTTGTGTACTGTAGGATGTTTAGCTGCACCCCTGGCCTCTTACCTACTAGATTCCAGTCGCCTATATTTTCTACCCCATGTTGTAACAGTCAGAAATATCTCCAGATAGGGCCCAGTGCTCCGTGGGAGTCAAAATCGTCCCTGGTTGAACCACTGAGTTGGAACCCAACCCAACCCACTGCCATTGAGTGGATTCTGACTCACAGAGACTTTATGGTGATGGTGGTTGTGTGCTGTTGAGTTGGTTCTGACTCACATCGACCTTATATAGGGTGTGTGAGGCTGTAAATCTTTCCAGGAGCAGAGAGCCTCCTCTTTCTCCAGTGGAATGGCTGGTGAATTCGAACTGCTGACCTTAGGGTAAGCAGCTCAACATGTAGTGTCATTCACTACACTACCCAGGCTCCTTAGCAACCCGCTAGTGGACAACTATTATTGTTACTGAGAAGCCCTGGTGGTGTGATGGTTCCGTGCTCGGTTTTTAACCGAAGGGGTAACGGTTTGAACCCAGCATCTGCTCTATAGAAGACAGATTGCGGCAGTCTGCGTCCATAAATATGTTGTTGTTAAGTGCTCTCGAGTCACAGCCTCAAAAACCCTATGGGCAAGGTGCAACTGTTGGTCTTTTCACGTACAGAGAAGAGTGATGACAACTGAAGATTCTTGGCGTCAACTAGTCCAGTGGACCAATGGAACAAGTGAACATCAAGTCACCACAACTCTGAGACTAGAAGAACTAGAAGGCTACCACTCCCAACTGCTCTGAAAGGGCTCACATTAGAAGGTTCCGGATAGAAGGGGAGAAAATGTGGAACAAATCTCAAAATTACAGGGAAAAAAAAAAAGGTTGGGCTTACTGGTCAGAGTGTGGCCCTTGTCTACCCTTCAGGTGTGGAATGGAACGCACACTTGTGTCCTAATTTTCAACTAAGTAGTAGATAGGTATACAGGGGGAACAAAAATACTCACAAGGTGTGCTCCTCATGGAATGGTCCAACATGGAAGATCTAAAGGGCACCATTTACTGCGGACAGAGTTGAGAAGGATTGGGAAGGTGGGTGGAATGGGACGAAGCGACAGGGAGGAGGCAGATCACTGTAGCTGCAAGGAGGGGATTGCAATCCTTGAAATGAAACAAAGTGTGTGACTGATGAATGTAAAACTGATGAATTGCTCTGTAAACCTTCATTCAATTCACTTTGTCCTACATGGTCGCTATGAGTCAGGAATTCACTCAGTGACAACAGGTTTTTCATGATTCCAGGTCTCTTATGTTATTTCTCACTGATGGCCATTCTTCTTGCTGGCAGCTCTACATCGTCAGGACTGGCGGCAGTTACACACCATCTACCAGTCTGTGGCACTGCCCGAGACTCACCAGATGTTGCGTCAGACGTGCCGGGACTTTGCTGAAAAGGAACTGGTTCCCATTGCAGCCCAGTTGGACAAGGAGCATCGTTTCCCAGCGGCCCAGGTCAGAGCCCCTGCCTTAGCCCAGGGTGGGTGGTGACAATGGCAGACAGAAGCATGAGACCCCAGCTAGGGAACTCAGAGGCAGGTGCTGGGCCCTGGGGAGAGTTTTGAAGGTTTCCTTGGCCAGTCTAAGTCCTATGACTAGCCTGTAACGTCTGTATTAAGCAATAGTCATATTGGTGGTAGCCAGTCCAAACCCAACCCAACCCACTGCCAGCCTCCTGACTCAACAGCCACCCTACAGGACAGAGTGGAACTGCTCCATAGGGTTTCCAGTTGCCTGAGGAGCAGCTGGCAGGTTTGAGCTGCCCATCTTGTGGTTAGCAGCCCAATGCTAACCCACTCCACCACCAGGCAGTGTGCTAATAATAATAGTTACGAGTGCTGGGCTTATAAGTTAAAGCTTAATAGTTTTGAGTTCAGACCCACCCAGAGGTGCCTGGTGATCCGCTACGGAGAGATCGCAGCCTTGGATCATTTTGGAGCAGCTCAGCTTTGCACACCTGGGATCGCCCTGAGTCAGCATGGACTCATATCCAAGTTGGGGCTGTGACTGGGAATAGCCCACCTTGTCCCTCTACTTTCTGGACCTACACACGTTACTCTCAGCAGCTCTGCTTGGGATGGCCCCTTCACCTCGCCGTAACACTAGTGAAGATGTGCACGTGGAGGATGGGAAGCAGCAGACAGGCCCTTGAAAAGCAGGCACAGTGGAGAGACGCTGTCCTCAGGTCCTTGTCCTAGATGTGCTGTGTGTTGGCACGCTTTGTGCCCCGTGACATACACTGCTTGGTTTTGTCTTTTGTGTTGACTCCTTCAAATTATGCCCACGGGAGGCCCATTAGAGTGACTAGATTAGTGAGCTCCTTAACCCTGCCCAGCAGGAGGATTTGGACCACCCAGCTGGCTGAGGAATTTGAGGATTTTGAATCTGGAGGCAGGTCGCAGTTTGAAAAGGTACCTGGGTGACGTGTATGGTTTGCGAAGCACTGGACCGTGAACCACAAGGTCCATGGTTTGAGCCACCGGCCGCTCTCTGGGCAAAAGATGAGGCTTTCTGTTCCTGTAAAGATTTTCAGCCTCAGAAGACTTTTCTATGGTTGCTATGAGTTTGAACTGACTCAACGGCACTTAACAACAACAACTAATCCAAAGGTTGGGAAAGCTGTGAAAGAAAGGCTTGGCGATCTTCCAGGAACTAAGCCACTGAAAGCCCTCTGGGGCACAGCTCTACTTTGACACACCTGGAATCACCATGAGTCAGAACTGACTCAGTGGCAACTGGGCAATCCATATTCTCCCAGAGCAACATGTTAAAAATATAAACATAATTATCCTTAGATGATTTCTCAATCAATCTTGGATAAAATCCAAGCTCTCTGCCACTGCCTTGTACTGCATACAGGGGCCTGCAGTATTTGTTGACCTAAAGATGAATGCGATATAGAAGTTGGGGTACCTTGCAGGTGTTTGAATTCCATCCAGAGGTTTTGCTCATATGAATATTATACATAGATTTGTTGTGGACAAGAAAACTGCCATAGAAGCAGACTGTTTACCAACCTACTCTTAGTCTGGTTTTATGAACGTGGTGGTGGCTAGGGGTGGAGTCCTTGCCTTCCGTGTAGGAGACCCGGGTTTGATTCTCGGTCCAGGTGCCTACAGTCACTACGCATCCCTCAGTGGAGGCTTGTGTGTTGCTATGATGCTGAACACGTGTCAATGGAGCTTCTGGACTAAGACTAAGAAGAAAGTCCTGGCAATATACTTCCAAAAATCATTGTAGAAATGGCTTGAGAATCATTAGCATCGACATTTCAAGACTGATTCCTATGAGGTGGAGGTCAAACATACTTCTTCTCTCCAACTTCTTACCAAGTCTGACATCAGCTGTCCCTGCCACGGGAATCTTGACTCCTCGTTTCATTGCGGTGACCACACGGCATTCACAGACAGTACTCACCACGATGGGGTTTATTAGGGAAATGCTAGGTTACAATCCGGGATTGGGAGTATCGTCTGGTCTTTGGTCAGGACCAGGTCCAAAGGTAAGCCTCTCCGTCGGGGCCCCCTTGGCTTGGCTGCTGCCCGGCTTGGTCAAGTGTTACAAGGTCTTCACCTTCACTAATAAGTGTCTGGAGACACCCCACTCTGCCAGGAAGCCTGGGCCCAGAGGCGATCAGCTCGCTGGCTCCCTGAGTCGACATGCCCACTGTGGCCACCTTGCTCTGTGAACCAGGAAGTTCACTGTGCTGTCTCGTGTCAGTGTCCGGGTTTTGCTGCTGCATTTCTGTGCTGCTGCTGCTGCTGCTTGTCATCTTGTGCCATCTCCAGTGTCACAGCTCCCACTCTCTCTGTCTCCGTCTCTGTCTCCTGGGTTCAGGAGGGTCTCAGCACAGGGATCCCGGCTCCACTCCCAGCTGTTGTTTCTTGATGGTGCTGAGGTTCTCCTCTGTACTGGGATTTGCTCTCTTTTAAGCCTAGTGGGATGGCAAGACAGACCATTCCCGATTGCCATAACACAGTTCATAAAGACAATGTTTTACAGCTGACTTCGGTGAGCTTTACAGCTGACTTCGGTGAGCAGCGACAGGGTTCTTAAAAGCTCGTGAAAAAGTAAAATAAAAAAAGCTCATGAGTGCCCATCTAAGGTGCAACGACGGCTCTCTCCCTGTCCAGAGCAAAGGGGAGTGAAGAAAACTGAAGTGACAAAGGAGTAATTAGTCCAAAGGACTGAGGGACCAGCTGAACCCCAGCCTCCATGATGCTGAGACCAGGAGAACTAGAGCGTCCCTGGTGACTTCTGATGGTCTCTGTGAGGGTCACAGTAGTCCTGGATGGAATCGGGGGAAGAATACGTAAAAAGATAAAAAAGGCGATCCTAGTGTGACAGACTGACAGATGGGACCCTGGGACAGTGACCCTTAGACAGACTTCATGCCTGGAATGGAGCTTATCCCTGGGGCTCAGTGGTTTCAGCCAAACAACACACAGGCCTGGAAGGTAAACAGCAAGATGAGGGAGGTGTGTACTCACTAAAACAATCAACTGCATCAGATGTAAAGGACCGTATTGGCCCAGGGATAAAGCTCAAATGGCAGGAAGGGACAGGAAAGAAGGACGAAAGGGAACTGGAGGCACAGGGAGGAAGTGGGAAGAGAGCTGCAACATTGTGGGGCTGGGAAAAGGTCACAAAACAAGATGTGTGTGAATTGTAGAACAAAGACCCGATGTGTTCTGTAAACTGTCACCCAAATCACAGTGAAAGAAAGAAAGAAACCTGACCCGTCTTCTCCTTAGGTTCCACACCCCTTATTTACATGGTCCCATCTCTGGTGCTGTAGCATCAGCACTGGACGACTAACCATAAGGTCGGCAGTTCAAACCCACCAGCTGCTCCTCGGAAACCCTATGCAGGGTTGCTCTGAGTAGAAATTGACTCGGTGACAATTAACAACAATATCCCCCCAAAGGATTCCATGCACCTGTTTTGTATTACTAGCAGGCTGTCCAATCCCTTTGGTGGACCATAAGCACCTTATTTGCATAGTCCCACCCATCTACTTATGGGAGTTACAAGAGCATGCATGCTAAAAGAGCCAGGCACTTTGATCAGCCAGTGAAACCCTGCGAGTCATAATGGTCGAATCCACAACCAATTACAGAGCTGGCAGAGTCCTAGGCAGTGTTTTATTCCATTTTGCATGAGGTTGCCATGAAAACAAAAATGCCATCTCGTCAATTTTGGCTCAGCAACTTTATAGGACAGGGTAGAATGACGTCATAGGGTTTCTGCCTCTGTAAATCTTTACAGACACAGATGTCCTCCTCATCTTTTTCCCTTGGAGCGGCTGATGGGTTCAAGCTGCCAACCTTATGGTTAGCAGCCCAATGCACATCCCACTGCGTCATCATCATCAGGGCATCTCGGAGTTGCCATGAGTTGGGCACAAAATTGGTGGCAGTTGACAATGATTCCTTTATGGAGTTGTTACAAAGTGCCAGTGAGTCGGTTCCAACTCATAGCAACCCTTTATAGGGTTTCTGAGGAGCAGCTGGTGACCTTGAACTGCATATTTCATGGTTCCAACTGACCTTGCAGCCCTGTGCATTAACCCGCAGCGCCACACGCCACACAAGGACTCCTTAAGGGCCTGGCAAAGCTGCAAATTCATTCTCCCAGAGGGTGGCAGTAGCCAGTATTGAAGCTCATGATCAGCATCTTCTCCACTTCTCAGACGTGGGGGCTGCTCAGAAAGGATTTGTCAAATACTCGGAGGTAGCCAGGAACATCGGTATTGAGGTGTTTATAGATGTTTTTACATCTATCGTCTCTTAAAGCAATCCCCATTTAGCAGGTGATAAAGGAGCAGTTCTAGGAATGACCTCCGGTTATAGAGAGGAGCCGTGGTGGAGCAGCGGTAGCTCAGTTGCTGACCAAAAGGTCGGTGGTTTGAACCTACCAACCACTCCTTGGGAGAAAGGTGCGGCTGTCTGCTTTGGTAAAGATAACAGCCTTGGAAACCATATGGGGCAGCTCTACTTGGCCATAGGGCTGCTCTGAGTCAGGTTGGACTCGACAAAAGTGGCATGTGGAAGGTTACAGAGCTAGTGAGAAGTGAGGCCAAGCGCTCTGACTTCCCAGCATACCCCAGTAATGGTGTGGGGTTTAGAGGGTGATGAGAATCCTCGGTTACGCCTAATAGTTATGCCTTTTAGGGAGGAATTGAAGTCTGCATTTTATTCAGGTCCTCTGGATGGTTTACAGTCAACTGCTTATCTAAAGCTTGGCACTTCACAACCACCTAGCAGATCTGGAGATGTACCTCTGTAAAGGTTACCAGGAAAACCCTATGATTTCCTTCTGCTTCGTATCACATGAAGTTGCTGTGGTCGGAATGGACTTATCTGCGGCAAGTTTATCACTGCTGGTTTGAGTTAGGAACCCTGGTGGCACAGTCGTGAAAGACCTCAGCTGTTAACGTAAAGCTCAAGCCCACT